CAGGTTAGTCTTGCACTGCTTTGGTTCAGTATTATTGCAGTCTGCATTGGTGTTTCTCTGCCTAAATACCACAAGATATACACTGATTATAAAGCAGGTGCCACCTTCAGACTTGGGGAGACTGTTGTCCTACTTTTTAATGCAGAACATGTGAAAAATATTTCAAAGATAATTTTTACTGGTCCATCATATTTTCTGTAAATTTTGTTTCTTTGTAGTCATATGTGCCAGCTACCCTAAAGTAAAAGAAATTCTATGAAGAAATTTTGCTGTTCAAAAAATATTGACTCAGTTCTCCTATTGGTATCAACAACCATTGATTTGAGAAAAAGTAAAGGTATGTTCTGTGTGATTACACAGGTATGACACCTCTTAATATTTCTTCAGCAATTTTCACATAAGGCAAATTGCAGAATTTTGCAACCATTATGAGGAACTTCAACACTGAACTCCCACCTAATCTTGTCTGATTAGAAAGCTAATGTTCTATTCAGAGGCTGAGATTATTGCCTTTAAGATTTCAGCATGCAAGTGTCTCAAGATAGTTTCTCCTTGCAGTTTTCAAGGTGAAGCTTTTTCCTGTCTGCATCATTAAATACAAGAAAAAAAAACAAAAACAAAACACCCACTTACTAATTGCCTTCTACATGTTCATGAAGCTAATAAATAGAATGATCTTATTATTGGCAATTATGTCCTTCATGGAACCATAGGTTCAGCTACAGAATCTTCAGAAGCAATATTATTTGCTTATTTGCATGACAGATTTTGATGCATGTAAATATAAACAGAAAGGTAATCCATTTCTCAATATTATTTCACAGAATCACAAAATGTTCTGAGTTGATCAAGTCCAACTACTGGCTCTGCATAGGACAACTCAAGTTTTACACCATGTGCAACAGATTATCCAGGGTTGGTGCCATGATCACTTCCCTGGGCAGCCCATTCCAGTAGCCAGTCTTTCTCTGGGTGTGGAAGTGTACAACCTCTATTTTCCAGTCTAAACCTCTCCAACACAACCTTAGGCCGTTTCATCAGGTCCTGTCACTGTCACCACGGAGCAGATATCAGTGATTGCCCTTTTGCTTCCCCTCACAAGGAAGTTGTACCTGCACTGAGGTCTCCCCTCAGTCTCCTCCAGGTTGAACAGACCAAGAGACCTCAGCCACTCCTCACTCTGCTTCTCCTCCTGACCCTTCAGCATCCTCGTTGCCCTCCTTTGGACTCTTACAAGTTAATATCTTTTTTACACTGTGGCACCCAAAAGTGTCCCCAGCACTGGAGCTGAGACCACCCCAGTGCAGAGCAGAGCAGGACAATCCCCTCCCTTGCCCGGCTGTTGATGCTGTGCCTGATGCCCCCAGGACAGGGCTGGCCCTCCTGGCTGCCAGGGCACTGCTGGCTCGTGTTCAGCTCACCAGTGACCAGGAGCCCCAGGAGGCTTTCCACCGTGCTGTTCTTCAGCCTCTTCTTCCCCAGTCTATACACAGAACCAGAGTTGCCAGATGCAAGAATCTTTCACTTGCCCTGGTTAAATTTCACATGGTTTGTGATTGCCCAGCCCACTCATTTCCTGAGAATTTCATATGTTCTTCTGTCCTTTGAAGAAGGACGGAAGCTCCTTGCATTTTTGTTTCTTTGGCAAACTTGCTCAGTATCCCTTCCAGTCCTGTGTCCAGGTTTGCAAAGATGTTGAAGAGTAACTGTCCTGTCACTGTACAGTAAGAGTTACAGTCACTGTCACCCTTTGTGCCCCACCATGAGCCAGTTGCTCACCCATTGCATGATGGTTTTTTTTTCAGCTGGCAGCTAGAGGATAACTCCAGGAAGATACCACGAGAGACAGTATAGAAAACTTTGCTGAAACTCAGGAAAATTCAACCAGCTGGTTTCCTTTGATCAGCTAGGTGAGTTGTTTCAAAAGGTTAGGTGTTTAGAAGATACTAGCTTGTTGTAAAAAATTTTGCATAATGCCATATTCTTTGCTTACAGAATGAAGAAGTACATTGCAAAATGTACTAGAATTCATATTAAAATTATATCAACTTAAAACTTTCTAAAATTCTTGTTGTTAGAATAGCTGCCACTCAAAGTACGTGATGATACAAAATGTTCCATTTGAATAAGAAAATGACACAAATCTTCAGTGGATTTAAATACAAAGCCATGATCATAATCAACAAATACATTTGTGTTCTAAATGTGTTCTTAAGGCCCTAACATACATCACTGAAGTTCATGGAGTTTTGGTCATTTTGTTTAACATGACCAGGATCAGAAGCTGTCACAGATTTTTTGCTTAAAAACATAGTTCTGTCATGATATTTACCTGAAGTTCATTACATTTTTCAAAATTTTTGGCACAAGTGTCATACAGTAGGAAAGCTGGGTAATCATGAAGACACCTAAACTTCCAGAGTGAAAATTGTCTCACTAGTTTTAGTGAGGCAAACTCAGATTTTTATAAGGATAAATATGGTTATTATTTTTCTTATTCAGGAATGATTTCTGCTTTTCCCAGTCCCTAACTGAAAATGCTTCCAATGTGCATGATTCTTAATCAGTTCAGTCTCCCTGGTAACTGCTGGGAGAATAGAGACCATTGTTATCCTATAGTTGTGTACAGTAGTTCCCATTGTGGGAGGATAGGAAGAAATGGGACTGACCTTCAAGAAAACCAGTAAACAATTACTCTAGAGGAAATTTCAAATTCTTATGTAGAGGTGAAGTGCTTCAGATGATGCTACTTCACCCTCACTTTTGAGTTTTCCCTAAATAAGTGATTAACAGAAGAAAATGATTGTACATCAGACCTTCAACTTATATTTCAGAGATCATATTTTCTTGAATAAAATGTTATAGTCTTTAAAAACTAAAACGTCATTTTCTTTTACAGAATGTGGGAACTCTAAAAATTACAAGAAGATTAAATAAACCAATACTTTAGTTTATTTATTTACACTTACTTGAGATAAGTATCTTCAAATGGCTGGGTAGTCTGTTTCCCAACATTTAGGAAGAGCTTATTAAAGGGCTTTTAAAGGTTGCAAGGTAACAATAAGAAGTAGTCATGGAAAGACTGAGGACTATAGCAGAAGTGCAGGCAACATGAACCCACAAATCTAAGTCGTAGTCCAGAGGATAAAAAAACAAATGGATGCAAGGAAGATTCTGGAAGACAAAACTTTTGGGGACCTCTATGTTTCATAAGTGCTGTTAATGCTCAGACATGAGATATAATAAGCATGTGAGAGATCAGAACCTTAATTTCTGAGGTATTTATTAGTAAAACCTTATTAGTAACCAGAAAAAGCAATTGGGATCATACAATGGCAAACTTTTCTTAACTGGAATAGTCATGTACAAAGAGCACGTCTCAATTTCCTTTTATTGGAAATTGTTAGGTAGCAGAAATAAAAGTTGTGCACTCAAAAAATGTGAGTTTTTATTCTGGAGGTGACCCCTGTGCTCTTTGTCTCGGCTAGTATCACAAACATACAAAGACTGTGTTACACAATACTAGAGCAAAACTGTAACAGCTTGTTGGAACAAAAGCTGCTCATGAAAGCCATGCCAGCCTCTTTAGAGCCTACCCCTATTTCCTTTTAAGTGCACAGGAGATTTTTACTAACAGTATTGGATTTTGGGTTGGGCCCCTTATCATTCCTGAACAAATCATCAAGCAAATGCATTAAATGCACAGACCTAAATTATAATCATAACCACAATCATAATCCATACCTTAACTAAAAGGCAGAAGACACTGAAATATCTTACTTGAAATTGAATACACCTAAAACACATAAGAAAAGAAAGCAGACTTGGGAGCTGCTTCAATTCCTGCCTACATGATATAGTTATCAGCACCACCATTGCAGTTAAAAATCTACAACCTTGATTTTCATGAAAAATTTCATGTTTGCTTATATCTCTAAACCATCAGAGCTATCCCACCACCCTTATAGTTCTTGAAATGTAGCTCATAGCTTTCTGTTACAGAAAGTATCAAAAGCAAGTAAATAAATAAAAACCAACTTTTGATAACAAACTCCTTACAGTTCTCAACTTGAGAAAGACTTATATCATCTATGAGTTACTGTGTCTGGAGGGAAAAAAAAACAACTAAACAACCAAAAAACAAAACCAAACCAAAATCAACCAACCAAAAAAACCAAACCAACCAACCATTAAAAGGCAATACAATTTACTATTGAATAATGTGCACAGTGTAATTGGCAGAAAAAGGCTTCTTAACTGTAGCTCCATGCTTTAAATTTCATTCAACATAGTTCAGTGTTTCAAATGTAGTCCCAGAGTTAAGACGAGGTTCAAGACAGTTGTCTTGAGTCATTGCTGTTGTCATTGCAGCATCTAGAGCTCACCTACACAAGTCATGCTCTGCAGCTGATGCCTGATGCAGATTCATTAGAAATGAATCATTTCACAAGAGGTACAATCTGAAGGGTTTTAAATAAAAGGACTACCTCAAATCAGTCCTTCTTAAAAAGAGTTTCGGTTTTACCTTCCTTATGTTACTGTGGAACTACATGAAATACATTCCAATAGGTACAAATCCCATTAGCTACAGAATATAGTGACTTATTAAAAATTATTATCGTCTATGTCTCATTAGAGAAATTAAACTTAGGTTTTCTTTGTTGCAAACTTATATTACAGTGGGAGACTACAAATGCAGGTCTTCTGTTTTTAAAATAACAATGCAAATCTCTACCTTCCTTAATAGAGGATAATAATTCAGACAAAAACTATGTTCATTTACTCTGCTACTCTCTGTGCCTTTTTCTCACAGCTGACTTCATTCTGTAAAGGATATATAAAATATAAGTATCAGAAATAATTGAAAGGAAACTTATTTTAGTCCATTCTCTTGCCCAAAGACAAGATCTAAACTGTTCACGGGACCTGTTCTTAAAATCTTCAGGCCATCTACTTCAGTATTTAATTATCAAATTGTGAAAATACTGGCTTTATTTTTCTTTTTTTTCCCTCTAATGCTTAACATAAATCTTTCTCTCTGCAAACTGACCTCTGATTTTGTCTCAGAACAAACAGTGGTGTTTGCCTTCCCGTTTTCAGATACACTTTACATATTTGAACACAAGCCATCCCACCTTTGGTTGTACAGACAGAATTAATTTTATGTTATTTTGTTCATTCATATTTTTGTAAAATTCATTTTGTTCAAGATGTTATGCATATCATGTTTTCCAGCAGCTTGTTCTTACTGTATCATGTTTTGCAGCATATTTTTCTCTGCTGATTCTCAAGTTGTCCAAAATTTTAATGAAATACAGTTGTCAAACCTGAAAAAAAAACCACTTCATTTTAGTCTTTTTCAGTTTCAAACACAGTGGACATACTACTTCATACATTTTACTGAAGACAGTTTTTTTTAAACATCTAAATATTATGGTTGATTATTGGATTGTATTATGACAATTCTGATGAATACTCAGGACAACTATTAATACTTCTTTGCAAACTTGTAATTTGCTATCCCATGTTTTTTGTTTTGTTATTCCAAGCTTCTTCATTTTGACATATTTCTGTCTTTCATGTTGTTAACATTTTTCTAAGGCATCCTGGGATTTTAATTCCATGTTGATCTTTTACTATGAGATTTTTTTACTAACAGTATTTTTATTTTCATCCCAGAAATCATGAGTTCTATACTTCATTACCACAATCAGTGCTGCTTTTCATCTTCAAATTCTCCCAGAACTCTATACTGACAATTTCCCTTACAGATGCATTTCACCTGTTGTCCTTCTTAAGGTTGAAATAACAAATATAGTCAACACATTCCAAGACCTTGTTAATATTTTGCATCTTGCTATATGCTGGTCTTCTACCGCAGTTCAGCCTAGTCTGAAACTATTTCATCTGCCTCATCACCTTTGCCTGATGTTTCATCCTGACCATAAAAGCACCTTTGTGATTTTTCTCTTTTATCGCCACTATGGATAAAAGATTCTGCAGATTCTGCCACTCAGAGCAAACTTGTGTCCCTCAATATATGGATAATATCTTACTCCTCTTCTTTGACTATCATTCCTAATAAGACTTCATATTCTATATTCATATTTGAATCATGAGACTTAACTACTCCTATGCCAAACAGATGATTTTTGTCTACTTAATTTGTCTTTGTTCTCACTTCACAAGTGGATGTATTACCAACCGGGTTTCCCAATAGTGTAGTATGGGTTTGAATTCTGGTGAATGCATAGCACTGAAATAAATCACGCATGTTAAAAAGTAAAAATATTAAGGGTAATAGAACTTTTCTAAAAAAAAAAAAAAGTGTCTGATGCAAATTTTAGAAGCAAAAATTTTCAGCAGCTCAATAATGCTGAGAAGTTGTCCAGCTGTGCTAATATGATTACTACCCTATCACCAAATATTTATCCCAGTGTCAAAGTGTATTTATATTATTATGTTGTTATTGCCTTAGGAAAAAATATTTTAATTGGTTTTTATACTTGTACTTCTAAATCATACCAGAAAAAAATTAATGGACTGTCTGGAACAATTATAAAGGTTTACTTACATTTTCATTAAATTTTCCTTAATATCGTCTACAGACAAACAAGAAAACCTTTTAAGTCCATTGTTCTTTTTGAGGATTCATTTCATTGCTGTCTTAGTAAGATGTTTAAGTAATATAATTTAAAATGTGTATTTTCTAGAAAGTGCACCTTGTTTTTTAATATTACTCTAATGTGTTATGTAATTTATTGTATTTATTTTTATGTCTTGTTCAATGAATGATTTGTGAACACTTTAGGAGATAAATAGTATGACTTGGCAATAATAGCACAGTACACAGTACACGTGTTATGTCTGATGCAATAGCTAGTCAGAGTCAGAATAGGGAAACTTAGAAAAAATAAATGGTTGCAGGACTATGAGCAAGAATTTTCTCTGAAAAACCCACATTTCAAGCCATAAAATTCCCTAGCAGAATACACACTTTGGTAGTGACATAGAAAATAAAGTAGTATGTTGCTATTTATTAGGCCTTTTTTGTTGATCAGATAGAGAGAAATCACACTGTCTGTAGTAGCTACTAAGATGTACAATTTTCAAATAAGCTTTTTTCCTGAGTAAAAGACATAACACATAGTTCTTCCATATTCTGAGGGCTGTTCACCATTGCAGACATGCAGTATGCAAATTAAATTTTTTTACTCCAGCTGAGGCTGTACTTCTCCCACTGAGTGATTTATCTTTACAAGAGAGAAAGCAGTATTTGCACCATTAACCATCCCTGAGACTTTGCTGGGGGAAATTTTCCTCATCATTTTTATATGGTTACAGAAGAGTCTAGGTATGAGAACCATCCTAGATAGAAATACATCAGGGAATGTCCTGGTCATGGACCTTGTATCTGCAGTCTTATCCATTTAGTTTACAACACAGGCCCTAAATAATGCTTTAAGACAGCTGTAAACTGTTTTCACCCTTTGCTGTGAAACTTTCTATCATCAGAACAAATCTGTTATAAATTGTATTAGCAGAAACTGACAAAAAATTAGAAGCGCACATGAATCCTAAAGTAGTTTCCTTGGAAGAGTTTGTACCTTTGAAAAAATCTTATAGTGAACAGTAAAGCAACTGCTGGTGCACTAGAACAATCTGTAGAAATAAGATTGGTCTACTAACATGTACAGATTTGTTCTCCAAAATCAAAATAATAACTTGTTAAATGTATTTACTTGTTGGTTCTTTTTTCTTTAATATCTGTATGTGGGTCTTAAAGACCCATGGAAGTCAGATCTCCTTGTCAGTTCAAAAAATAAAATACTCTCCATTTTTAAAGAGAGGTAAGGTAAAAAAATTAAGAGAAAACAGCATAACAAGATAACAGCAAAACTTGTTGTTCTACTCTTCTATTATTTCCCATTCAGTCCTTCTTCCCTTGGCTGTTTATATAAACTGTAGGCCATTTACAGTGAGGGGGTTGCTTTCTGACTCACTGTCCATATAGATTGCTGGCATTCTGTACTAAAAAGCAATATTATAAACAACAACATGTATATTTTCTTTCATACAAACACAACTGATTTTTTAACAATCAAGAGTAAGGCTTAGAAAACAGATTCTACACCTCAGAGTAGAATACTGGAAATTTGCTGAGATTAAATAAATGAATGACCCAGATCCCTGGAATTAAAGCAGAGAATTTGGCAATGCCAACCCCAGCAAGAAGTGTTGAAGAGACAGAAGGGAACCTTCTGTAAAAGTACTGGAAGGGGTTAAAAATGAGGCAGGAGTGAGCCACTCTAATGTGAATATAGTTCTCATAAGACAGAGCTGAAGGTTTCTAACCAGAAATTTCACATTATATAGCTTCCAGGTAGTTGAAATTGCCAAGTCAAAACACTGTTGGTGAAAAGATTCCAAGCTTTGCACCAACATTGTTCAACAGGTAACAGTGACTGGGTCTGAAGGAAGATATTTCCCTTTCTCAGTGGCCAGTTCAGCAATATCACAGTGACACTAAAACACAGTCATTTTACAGACAGCTCTATCTTTATTCTAATCCTTTTTTTTTAATGGAAACATTTACTTTGTCAAGGCTAGCCAAAAGCACTAGTAAAAACTGCTTTGGTTTCAAAATGGAAATACATAATATGTGTGTTTATCACTGAGGACAGAATATAATCAGTCAATTATCAGATTCTCTTAATTGATTAAGAAAATTATTATGTGTGCAATTGCATGTACTGAGTCTACTTAACAAGGAAATATGATAGGGAAGTTTTTAACTCATCCAAGTAGCTACAGAATAGACACTATATAAAGAGAATTAATTCATTGTTGTATTTATGGAATTTGTAAGAATACATTAAAAAAGTACAATACACATCTGCCCATCTTAAAGATGGGGACTCAAACCACATTGCAGAGGAGCATAAACTTGATTTTAGTCCTGAGTGACAGTATTTCTATTTGTGATAACTACACAACAACAATTCTACATATCACAATGATTAGTAAATTAGATTCTAAATGCCTTTGACTGCCTTGTTCCTCAGTGCATTTCTGTATAAATTTTGCATAAAGTCATTACTTTTGTCACTTTAGTTGAATTGATATTACCTGCTTATTTCAAGACAAAACGCTAAATAATTTTTTTTTTCTCACCTGTAAAACTCCCATACTCCTGCATCACGACAAAACTATCATGAAATAAAATTACTATTATAAAATTTTTCCCAGTATACCTGGAACTACAGCCTAGAAAGCCTCTTGTTCACTGCAAGCAAATTGGTAAAAATTATACTGAAACCTGCAAATAGTAGACACAAGGATAAATAAAAATAATGGACACATGGATAAATAATAATAAAAGGGAAGCATGAACTTGGCTTTCCAGAGTCAGATAATTTCTCACAAATCTCTTGGACCACTCTAGATCAGCTCTTAATTTTCCTATTACATGTAATCTTCATGGATCCAGCTCTAAATACACAGAATGCTCTATATGATTTCTTACATTTCACTAAATATATTTTCAAATGTCAGTTAATTCCTGGCACAAATAAATTTGGCAGAAGTGGACAAACATAATAAAAAGGTGTAAAAATCACTCATTTGCTCAACACTAACAACTTTCTATACTAACTACTTTTTTAATGCTGTTGCTTTACTATTTCTTTAACCTACTTGCTCTACAGTACATGTTCCTTTTTTTTTTGTTTGTTTGTTTGTTTGTTTGTTTTTTCTTTTACTAAATTTGTTTGGTTTATATTTAGAAATCTGGTGTCTAAGACTGTGGTTCCAAAAATTCTTTACTTCATAAACAAAATTCTGAAACATTATTTCTTTCTGGTCTTCATGGGTGTGTCTACATATCTTTTGAATAATTCTTTATCAAACGCAACACTACAGTAAGTAACAAAAATAAAGATAGAAACTGGATGAGAAGCAGAAATTATTGTGAGAACAAGATAGAGCATTAAAAATTGTGGCAAAGACCAATTTAAATTTTTCGGTGTAGGTAGTGAAGTAATTTTTTGATTTGCTAAATTACTCAAAGCAATTTTCTTAGCCCCTCACAAACAAAGGCTTTCCAAATTAACTTTATTATTCAATGTTCCTATTTTCCATTTGCTATATTTTCATGGCTGCAGTCTGCATCTCAGATAAGCCACACATTTTTTGAAGAATCAGGCCTGGAGAGTAAGCACTGACATAGCATGTAGAGGATCAGAGAAAGAAGCATGGAAACTGTGGAGGAATTACTTTGCAACCAGTCCAACTTATAAAATTGTTCATTTTATAATATTTGTTAATTTATAATTGTTATTTTAAAAAACTCGAAGTCTCACCGGTGAGAAAGAAGTGTGAGGCTTTAAATTGCTATCAGTTACGTGTCATATGCACCATTATTTTCCCACAGCCTTTACCATCCAGCTGCCTAAAGTTTATATCATGTATTTTTGATACAACTACCTACTTGTGTTTCCAAATATGTTCACAGCTTCAACTTTTGCTGCTATCTTTACAAATGAAAAACAGTTCTACAGACATGCCTCTGATATAACTAAGATCTTCCACAGAATCATTCATGGTGTATGGATTGATAGATTGCTATGTGCTGAATTAAACCACTGTTTTTGAGTTAGACAAAATACTCATGCCATTTAGAATGTCACATTTCTGAAACACATATTCCTCCAAAGTGTCCCAATAAATTGTGCACATTCATTGAGGGACTCGAATACTTCCTCTCTCTTTGGAAAATCCAACCTTCTTTAAAATCTTACCAGAGTCTTTACTTTTTACAAAACAACAAAGAAGGTTGTTTGAAAGTATTTTCACAGGACTATTCATGAGTGGAAAGGTGAACCCGCAGGAGGTGAACCTGCTGCTCTAGGAACAGGGAAACCAGAGATGCTCCTGTATCACCACCTAGTGGAGAAGAGCCCTACTGCCCATTACACAGCTCCCGAGCTCCGTGAGTGTGAGAGCGGGTTCCTGACTGAACCTCAACTGATGGATTGCACACTACCTGCTTTATCTAGATCTTTATGCCCAGAGATCAACTAACTTCCAGATAGGAGGCTGGAACTTACACCGAAGCATGTTCAAAGTAACAGCCTAAGAGCTCTGGATACCTTACCTTTTTTAACCTCTTGCCTCCTTGGACCAAAACATTCAGCATATTTTTTTGAGTGTCATAAATGTCATGTTTGGAGGTGAAAAACTAGAAACTGTTCCCTAACTGTCATTTGGAGTAAAGACTCATTGCAAATAATGGGTTTCTTGCAAATTAATGAGCCACAAAATTGGCCTAATTCTTTTAGGGAAGTAAAACAACTGAGCACAATTTACACAACTGAAACGAGGACAAGAAGGCACTACCAGAAAAATCATGTCTATGGGGTAAGCATTCAAAGAACAGAGAAAGACTTCAAACACTTATAATCCTTTCTTGTAACATTCAAGCAGTAACTCTAATGCAGTAGTAAGGGAAATAGTAAGGGAAAAATTTGATTCCAATACAAATTTTACATCCAGTGAGGCTAATATTTAAAAGCTATATTGATATTTTCAGTGACATTAGAGAGATATGGTAACTGTTCTCAAAATTTCACTGGGGCAGAGGTATCATAGTATATGTACTTCCAATAGATTTCAGCTATTAAATAGCGTCATTTTTATCTTCACAGATCAATGTAGCATTCTAGCTTTGTTTTTTGTTGTTTTTTTTCCCCTGACCTGTGTATTTTCACACCTGGATACATTCACAGAACCACGGAATGGGTCAGGTTGGAAGGGCCCATAGTGCATCATCTAGTCCAACATGCCTGCTCACGCAGGACACATGGTGTAGGATTGTATCCAGGCTTGGATATCTCAGGTGAGGGAGACTCCACAACCTCTCTGGGCAACCTGTTCCAGCGCTTGGTCACTGCACAGTAAAGAAGTTCTGTCTCATGCTCAAGTAGAACTTCCTGGGCACCGCCACAAGCAAAGACCCCAAACCAAACAAACAACAAAACACAAAATCCAAAGAATTGTAGCCATCTCGCAAGATTGTAGTGTTGGAGTAAAAAGCACATTTCTACCTAGAGAGGGATCAGGACGTCAACAGAATCAAACACCACTTCAAAAGTTCCCAATACTCACAACACTTTGTGGTATGAAAAGGAAAGCCCTACATTTGATTGAAGACAAACAAACAACAAAATTCACTAGCTGAGTACAACTTTACACTTTTTTTTGAGAACTCATCCAACTCTAAGCAAAACCAGACATTACTCATTTGCAATGTTTTAAACAAAATCTTGCATTTTATTGCTGTTATTTTGCAAAATTAGTTTTCCTTCTACTTTCACTTTCAGACTGTGTTTGCAGTTGTACACCATGTGTGCTTGCTAGATTAGATAGCCAGGCCTGATGTTGAAACATAAACTGAAAGTGCAAAACATTTTTCAGAGAAGAAGTTATGCAGCCGCAATAAATTTAGACATTCTAATGTCTAGTATGTTAAAGGAAAATATGATATCAATATACATGATTTGTCAAACACCAGCACAAGTAACTCACCTTTCTTGGCCTTAAGCAGACAATGAACTCAAATTTGTAGATCCAGTCATATGACTTGAGAGGTTTCTAGAAAAAACTCTCCTGCACTCATGCAAGTTGCAGAAGTTTTTCTGCCAGAAGTCTTTCCACATGTTCCTGGCTACCAATGAAGGAAGGCCTAATAATTAATAACTTGGATTAACTTTATAAATTGGAGTAAAATCATGAACCCCAATTCCTCTTGCATTTACTTTAAGCTATATTCCCTCCCTTCTTCCTAAAAAATGTAAATGGCTCTTGCTATACAGCTCAGTATGTTTCAGGCCATTATCCTGTGAGAATCAGAGAATAAAAGGGAAAGGAAGGAAAATGCATGGTTCTAATAAGGAATATTGACCTGGAAAATTTGTCAAAGATGGAACATACTGAAAGGAAAACGTTTGATTGCAGGCATCAACATCTGTGTAAACACCACAGGGATCCAGTACTGTGACCCTAGGAGATAATGTGAGGAAGAGAAATAGAATTTCTAGTATTTAATATGGCAATAGACTGAGGAGTCTAAAAACTGATGCGGGAGCTCAGCACATCACTCCGGATGTCCAGAGCTACCGAGAGAACCTTTGGGGGGCTCGGAGGTCTTGGAATGTTGCCAAAAGTGTCTGGTGGCTTGACTTTGGCCCTTCCTCATTCTCCTGTGTATGAGGAAATGAGAAACCTTTGGGTTTGAATGGTGCAGGAATGATATATTCACAAGGTGAAACATAGATTTCAGAGTTTTGGTACAGGGGGGTTATGGAGAAAAGATGGAGGAATCAGGGTGTGTTCCCAGGTTCTTCTTTCTTCTTCTTGTCATCCTTTTTCTGTGGTGATGTTGGCACTTGTGGATTGGTTCATGGAGAAGGTGCACTTGTTAGTAAGGATGAAAAGTATTGGGAATGAAAGGTAAATATATTACACGTAGTTTTCACTACAGAAGACACAGCTGTCCTGTGGGCGGGGGAGAGTGCATTGGGCTACCTTGCTGATCATTGGGCTATCTTGGCTGGGCAGACAGAAAACTTTGTAGATAAGAAATAGTAAACAAAATCGAAGACCGAAAACTTGAGAGTCCAGATTCGTCCTTTGAAGCGTGGCCTGCCCAGAACCACCTTATCCATATCGGGGCAGAGACAAGAAACAGCGAACCCCGATAATTGAGCAGAAGATTATAGGGTTTTTGACATATTTTTATTTTGTTTAACAAAAATTTTTTGGGGGATTGAATTGCCACTAGAAGTTATGGAGAAGCAGGAACAGAGAAATAAGGAATAGTAAAGAAAAAAAGACAAAACATGGAAATTTCAGCTAAATGACCCATTGCACTACATTATTTTAAAACATAAGTAGAAAATTTACAATTTTGTTTAATCTCCCAGCAACTGCAGTTGGGAAAGACTGTATGTCAAAAACCCATCCCATCTTATCATAGACAATTAAGTGCTTAAATTGGAAAAGTCAAGTTGGGACCCCAGCACTCAGGGTCAGGACACCTCATTTTCTCCAGTTATTGCTGAACAGAACACCTTCTGAGAGGTGACTGGTAGAAAAGATGTATGCTAATGTCTTTACAAACAATTCTATGGGTGAAGGAATGGGTGTTAACGTCTTAGAAATGAGCCTTAATATCTCTACTGACTTCAAGCTGAAGGTTTGTTACAGATCCCAGACAGCTTGACAAACAGGCAAGGGTCTGTGCAAGCCTCAACTTCCGAACTTTGAGGTAAAATGACAGGTTCAAGGGGGAATATATGGTAGATAGTTCGGGAAGGCTGTACCTTCCTAGCACCTCAGCCAGTGGGGGAAGCAAGGGCAACATACGGCCGAGAGCTCAGGATAAAAGGAGACCACATCCTCTAAAACCGAGAGAGAGAATCCCCGCGGGCATGTGCCCGGGTGGACCGTCTGCAATTATGCGAATAAAGTTGCAGGACTCCTCCGTCTCATTTGTGGACGCCGGCTTTCCACAGCGCGGTTGTCCTGAGCCCACCGGAGGAAAGCAGAAAGCAGCCGCTCCGCCTGCAGGGACGGGGACAATGCTCACCTGGGGACAGCCGGGCGCCGTCCACACAGGGTCTACAAAATTCTCCACTGGGAATCATGGAAACAAAAAACAAACAAACCACCAAACAGACAAAAAAGACAATACACCCCCCCC